TAGCCTAAGTCAACTCAGGTCATATGAATTTTTCCTCCATAGTATAAGCCAAAATAGTGAGAAGTATAACCTTCTGCAGAAAAAAGTCCTTCAGATTGGCTCTTGGCTGCTGCAAGAGTCCCCTTTGGTTTAAGAAAACTAAAAAGCACACCTACATCTAGAGCGTCCTCCCTGGAAGGTGCAGCTCACTGTCTCAGACCCCCTGGGAAGTCTCAGCCCATGTCTACCCTAACCGAATCAAATGTCATACGTTAGGTCAGGGCAGTCATGATGTATTTTTCTGTTCTCTGATTTTCTGTGCAAACTGTGTCATGACTTTCCAAGAAGTCCAGTCCATTTCTTTTCTGTTGTTTCTGTTTATTTTTAATATCCTCTATGCGGGACCAGCAGTTAGCGTAATGGCTATGTCTCTGGATTCCACGTAGTCTACTGCGGTTCGTGTACTGGACCCGGTGGCTTAAAACTCACGCTGGGCGCGTTTGCATGCATGCCCAAGATCCTGAGAGGAGAACAGAGGAAAAGGGATTGCGGCGTGCCCACCCCCCCTGGGGAGTGATTTCTCGATTTCTGTCTCTCTGTCTCTCTCTGTCTCTTTGGTGAGCGCACATGCCCTATAGAAAAAACCTCTCAAAAAAAAAGAAAAAAAATTAATATCCTCTATGCTAGTCTCCTACTAGTGAGTTACTTGCTTGAATGAACTGTTATCTCCCTCAATGCCAGTGTGGTCTGTTAGTGTTAAATGTTCCCTTTGCAAAGATGGATAGTGTTTTGTTTGTGATTTCTGTTTTTTAATAATCATTACAGCCCTTCTTGCTCAAACGTTGACTGTGCTTAGAGGTACAAGTTTATAAAACAAGTAAAATCTGTTTTCCTAACTTCTAAAACTCATGTGAAATAATTTAGTGCTATACAGTGGAAAGTACAGAAGCCTTTGAAATCAGATCTGATTTTTTTTTTCCCCTCTGCCACTTAATAGTTACATGATGTTGGTTTAGTTGTTAAGCCTCATGTCTCCCATTTGTAAAGTGATTGTGAGGATACAGTGAAGTGATGTATAATATAAATCTAAAGATTGTTACACAGTGAGTGACTGGCACAAATTACACGCTCAACAAATGTTAGCTTTTTTTTCCTTCCTTGTTCCGTTCCAAGTGTTTACGAACTCTGAGCGTGAGGGCTCTGAGCTATCCAATCGTGAGCTTTCCTCTGTTCAAGCATTATATGATCTACTTGTTCCCCAATAGTTTATGTATTTATTTATTATTTTCCAGTTTTGCTACAGGGTACACGCACTTGTTGGTGGGCTGGGGAGCAGGGAGAGTAAGAAAGCACCCCCCCCCCCCCCCGTGTGGATGACCACAACACAATCCCTTCTCCCCTCTTCTCTTGGGATTTTGGGCATGTGTATCCAGCGTGTTTTTCAAGTTACCAGGTCCGGAACTAGTACTACACAGTCTGCCATGTGGAATCTACCTGCCTTAACCACTACACCACCTGCCAGCCCCTAATAGGTTTTTTTTTTTTTTTTTGCTTAAGTAGTTTGAGAGGAGATCTATCTTACATATTATAAAATTATCTAAAGTGTACAATTCAGTGGTTTTTAGTTTATTCACAGAATTATGCATATATCATTGCAATGTTTTTTTTTTTTTTAGGCTTATTTCTTTATTTAGAGATGGTGAGAGAAAAAGGCAAACACCTTGAACAGGGTCTCATACTAGAATCTATCCCTCACCCCCAGTCTTTCTAGCCAGCTGGAATCTTGGGCATGTGTATCCAATATATGACAATCTAATTTTTGGAATATTTTCAACCAAAAAGAAACCCCATACCCACCAGCAGCCATTCCCCATTTCAGATGCACAGGTTTTAAAAGCTCAATCCCAAACTTTTTCTCCTAATTTTTAGGGTGCTGTTTGGTAGCGTGCATATGTTAACAGAAATGTCTGTGTTACAGTCTGGGCTTCTGCCTCATCTCTGGAAATGTTCTTTGTGAGGTCACCATGACCTTCTAATGGCAAACTCAAACTAATACTTTTTGGCCCTTATCTTATTTTCCCCTTTCACGGCATCTGAACTGTTAGCCACTTTTTCCTTGTTGACATTGTTACCTCCCTTGGTTGAGTTGGAAGTTTTTCTGTCATAGTCTCTTTCTGTCTAGTTGTTCCATCTCAGTCTGGTTGGTCCATCTTACTTTAATACTGGACTGACAAGACTGGTTAAGATTTAGTTTCCAAAATACGCAAATATTCCCATGAGCAACAGCCAGTCTTCCATGGAAAAAAATACTCAGGGACAGAAAATGAAGAGGAGATTCCAACAGAATGAACACCTGGGAACTTGGAGGTTCTATCTATAGCTGACTTCCTCTGACATACTGGGTGAGGCTATTTTTCCATGACATTATTTTCAGTTTCTTTATTTAGTTCCTGTTAGTAGTAATTTGCTGTCCCTTTGGGAATTCAAATATGGCTGTTTTCTTCCTTCTTCAACTTTAGGCTTTCCTTTTCAAATTAATTTTTGCATGTTTAATAACTATAAGATAGGCTTTATCATTATTTAGAGTTGTCAGACAGGCTGATTCCCAGAGGTTTGCATTTTGTTTGTATTTCCTCTTTTTTTTCCTGGTCTTGATCCATTAGTTTTCTGTTGGAAACTAGCCACTGCCTATGTGAGTATCTGTGGATGACATATATTTTGGAGATTTAAAGCTTTATAAGTTTTTTCAGTCATGTATATTTATGGTCCAGGTTTTGCCTAAACTTTTTTTTTTCAATAAAACATTTTTAAAATGTATATCTAATTCAGTCTGCTTACTTGGCAAATTAATTTCTTTTCTGTGATCTAATTTTCAAAAAGATTAGGCCCTTGCAAGAACATTTCTCTAGAGCCTTTATAGTCATGCAGAGAGTTAAAAATCAATTGTGCGGTTCCCTTTGCACTCCCATTTTTTAGTTTTTTTTTTTTTTTTTTTTTTGTGTTTTTGTTTTTTTTTTTTAAGAATTATTTTATTGGGAACCAGCAGTTAGCATTGTGGCTATGTTGCTGGACTCCCACGTGGTCGACCGCAGTTTGCATCCTGGACCCGGTGGCTTGAAGCTCACGCCGTGCGCTTGTGCGTGCATGCCCAGGATCCCAAGAGGAGAATGGAGGAGAAGGGATTGCGGCGTGACCATCCCCCCTGGGGGGTGATTTCTCGCTTTCTGTCTCTATGTCTCTCTGTCTGTCTGGCGAGCGCACACGCCCTATAGCGAAAAACCTCCCCCCCAAAAAAGAAAAAGAATTATTTTATTTAACTTTATTTATTTTAGTTTGAACAGAGAGGCATGTGCGCACACACACACACAGAGAGAGAGAGAGAGAGAGAGAGAAAGAGCAAGCCACCAAGTCCAGGACTCAAACCTCAGTCTGCCATGTGGGAGTCCATCACCCTTAACCACCATGCCACCTGCCAGCCCCAGCATTTTTTAGTTTATTTATTGAGACACACAAATGTACACACACACCCTCACTAGGGTTTCATGCTGTAATCCTCCCACAAACTTTTCTAGCCAACCTGAATCATGGGCGTATGTCAGCTTAGCATACTGAGGTCAACCTGAGAACCAAATCCTGATCTTTCATATGGCTTCCAGTTTTACAGAGCAGTGCACCACCACTATGCCACTGTGGCTGGGCCAATTGGCCCCCACCCTTCTTAATAAGGTATAGAGAAAATAAAAGAAAGAAGAGTAAATAAAGAAATTTTATAGTAATCCTTTTCAAGAACTTGAAATCCAGGATTTAAAATAAATCTCAAATTGCTTCTCAGCCTTTTAGCCAAGATCAAGTGTAGTCATCTGCTCTTACTAGTTTAAAATAAATCTTTAGTTCATGAGGGAAAATGTATCAATTTTATAGTTTAAAGGATAACTTTCAGTTTTCATCGAATATAATCCTACACTTTATTTTGTTAGAAATTTGGATTTTTGGCTTTTTAAATAATGAAGGTCTGCAGCCCTAGGCATGATCTAGGGTCACCTACCCTACTCAGCATTACTGTATCTGTTTACTGCCCAGTGAATGCAAGTGGTGCTTGGAGAGGGGTGGTAGGCCCTAGTGTTCCTTACCCAGTTCCCTTGCCTGTCCCTCTCTTCATCCTGTGCATTATTGATCACTTTGTTCAGTCTAGGTGTCCAGTGGAAAGGACTGACACTTTGGCATCATTTCTGTTATCTGTTCTGTTAAGCCTTTACTTAAATGTTTCTGTGGTTATGTGTTTAAACAAGCCTCTGTCCGCTCTTTTCATTTGCTGAAATAAGTAAAACCAAGCAAGGTGACAGTTTTATTTCTTGATGCTTGTCTGACTTTCCCAAGCACTTGGCGTACATTCCTCAGGTTACATAGCATATCTATAATTTCACTATTGCAATTCTAGCTTTACAAGCTAGGAGTTATATTTTTATCTCCTCCCATGTCTGTCATCAAGTAATTTATTTTTGTTCTTTGCTGTGCCTTCCTGCAAAGTGCTTCAAATATATAAGACTACCCACTAATTAATGAATGTGTGATGAGGCCGAGAAGGGTACAGTGGCATAGAGCCGACTGAGATTCCTGCCCTGTGAAAGAGGCTGCTGGTTTCTACTGCTGTGATTAAGCTACTTAACTTGTAAAGGAAGGGCTGTATAATCAGGATTTCGGAAGCATTCTTCCAGTACAGAGACTACTATTGGGGTGTTTTCTGGTGACTAGTAAGTATATACCCGAATGCAGATTTGTACCGAAGGATTCTTAGAAATATAAACCAACCCAGCATTCATGCCACTGCCCTTTGTTTTTAATTTGCTGCGTGGAGTGGTACGAACTTAATGCAAGTGGAGATTAGAGTCCGAGTGATGTAGTGCTGGGGGTACTTCTAGGTTCTTTTTGCATAGAAGACATTGTATTCTTTTGTTCTGGTACAAACTTAAATCTTTTTTTGGAGGGAAATATCTAGAAACTACCTGATATCCTCTTTCTAGATGCCCTGGAGCTTCTCATCGGAGAGTTGCCCTAGAGAGAAGGAAAGCTAGTAAAACGCAGACAGAGATTGAGAATGAAAACGGACCTGCCCTGATAGATCCTCCGGGAACTTTATCGTCAGAAACAGACTGTTCCGGGACAGGCACAGCGCCCGCCGAGCGGAGCTTGACTTCAGCCTCTCTTCCTGCATGGACGGAGGAGCCTGGCCTGGACAACCCTGCCTTTGAGGAAAATGCCGGAGCTGACAGTACGTGCAGCTCTCTTCCTGCTTTTGTGTTTCACCTATTTCCTTCCTGCTCTCCCAGCATGCACTTTTTTCTCTTAAAATAATTTTATTGAGATGCAATTGACATTCCACATCATTCATCCTTTTCAGTCTCCAGCTCCAGACTTTTGAAACAAAATGTGGATCTTCCCCCTGAGGAAGGTGATCCTTCCCCATCCCTTTTCTATTATCATTTGTGTGAGCTCACTTATTATTCACATGGTTCTTATGGTTCATCTGTGTGTTCGGAAATTTGTTTGCTTAGCATAAATCAGCATCAAGAACCACAAAATCAAAAATAATAGCTCAGATGAAATGTTCATTCTTTGTCAGGCATGTGCTGAGCACTCTACATGTATTAATAACTAAGTAGATGTTTTGAACATCAATATGAGATTTTTTTTTGCCTTAACATGTAAGAAAACTGAGTCTTGAGAGATTGGTCTAGCTCACATAGCCAGTAAAGGCAGGATGTGCATCAACTCCAAGACGTGCTTCTAGCCGTGACATACCTCTGGTACCAGCCACTGCTCCAGCCCGCTAGGTGCTGGCCCCAGATGCTTATTTCTTTAGATAATTTCTTTTTTACTAAATTCTGTAAATTCACATTTTCCTTGCCATAGTTACAACCCTTTGCATGAACCTAAAGCTCAGTTCAAGACCTACCTCTTCTTAGGAGCTAACGTAGCTGCTCCGCAACACTTAACAGCGTTTATGCACACCAAGTTAGTGTTGTGATATCGTCTTGCATTATTTACAGTTATTTTCTGGTCTAAACTTTCTCTCATTGGTTATGACAAAATGACTTTCTTTTAGTATTTCTTAGATCACTGTGTCTTCCCTAATGATCTGATACATAGTGGATATTCATTGGATTTTTACTGATCACCTTTGAAAGAGAGAATTTTTTTTTTTTTTTTTTTGAGAGGTTTTCACTATAGGGCGCATGCGCTCACCAGACAGACAGAGAAAGACATAGAGACAGAAAGCGAGAAATCACCCCCCAGGGGGGATGGTCACGCCGCAATCCCTTCTCCTCCATTCTCCTCTCGGGATCTTGGGCACGCACGCACATGGGTCCGGGACGCGAACCGTGCTCGACTACATGGGAGTCCAGCGACATAGCCATTATGCTAACTGCTGGTTCCCGAAAGAGAGAATTTTTTGATGCTCTTAACTTATGGATGTTCTTGTCATTCTGTTTCTTAGCCAGTGGTATTGCTTAATGATTAATCATCTGTTAATGTGTGATGACTTATTTACCTGAAGTTAAATGTGGAACTTTTTCTTGTCATCTGTTATTTCTCTCTCATTTTGTGCTTGGCAGCCCCACAACAGCCACTTAGTTTACCGGAAGGAGAAATAACCACCATTGAAATTCACCGGTCCAACCCTTACATTCAGTTAGGGATCAGCATCGTGGGTGGCAACGAAACACCGCTGATTAACATTGTCATCCAGGAAGTCTATCGGGATGGGATCATTGCCAGAGATGGCAGACTCCTTGCTGGAGACCAGATTCTTCAGGTATCTGCTTTATTATTCTGTTACCTTGTACCTTTCTAGTCATCATTTTAAAAGTACACTGTGGTGTTACAGAAGCTGAAGTATATAAAGAGTGTATTTACAAGAGGGAGAAGTAGAAAGCACCACCTCCCCAAGGGGAGTGGTCACACCACAGTCCCACCTTCTCCACTTCACCATTTTGTTGGGATTCTGAGTATGCGTGCATACATGCCTAGAATGTTTTTCAAGCCACCAGAGCCAGGATTCCAACCACAGTTGGCCTTACGGGATCCAGCTCCCTTACCTTCCAGTTTATGGATTGAGCCCATAAGCTCATTCTTTAATTCCATTTTCCCATGAACTATTTTTTTTTCCTTCATGCCAGAGGATGTTTGAGAGCACCTGAGAATGAGAAAACAGTCCACACACCCACCATAGGACCCGATCACGCAGCAGTCTTTTTTTCTCCATTCCTCCTCCTTGTCAAGATCTTGGGCACACATACATGTACTCGTTATGTGTTTCAAGACACAGGGCAAGAGTTTGAACCATGTGGCCCTGTCGGATCTGGTTCCCTTCACACAGTGCTTAACAACTGTGCTATTGGGCTACCCTTCCATGAGCTTTGGGAAGTCCCCTTGTCCATGGGAGGTACTTTTTTCTCCTACCCTTAGCTTCCAGTTCTTCATGTGGCTCAGTACATGGAGCTGGGCTCCCTGGGCTAGTGAGGCTTTTCCTGGCAGAGACTCCAGACTGGCTTATTCTAGGGCCACCATTATTCATGCTGAAATTCTCTTACTTCGTACTGTATCCCTTACCTCCTTTTCCCATCCACCTTTATGTCTGCTTTGCCTGTTTACACTGCTAAAATCTAGATAAGACAGAACGACGTAGCCCTAGCCTTGTGATTGATGCCAAAGAATGTAAGATAGACTTCAGAAATTTAGCAGTCACCTCTTACTGACTTCTTAATGCATTCTTCTCAGCAGACGTTCTTTTTTTATTTTTTTAAGAGGTGTTTTCTATAGGGCGTGTGCGCTCTCCAGAAAGACAGAGAGACAGAGAGACAGAAAGTGAGAAATCACCCCCCAGAGGGGATGGCCACACGACAATCTCTTCTCGTCCATTCTCCTCTCGGGATCTTGGACATGCACGCACATGCACCTGGTGTGAGTTTAGGCCACCAGATCTGGAACAGCTATCTCCATTATTCAAATAAAACTTAGAACCTTTAGGATTTTTAGCTCGTGAGGAAATCGCTGGATTCGTGGATGGGTTTTTCCCACTTTAATATTAAAGCCTAAAACCTTCATACATGGCTGAGACAGGATTTTCAAACAGTGTTTGCTTTTCACTAAATACTGGGAAGAGAGAGTGACACAGGAAGCGTAACTATTGGGATGTCAGAAAAGTCATGATGTATTTATTCTGCTTTTCTATGCAAAAATGCATCAGGACTTTTCTGACAACCCAATAAATCCAGCTTACATAGGCTCAGCCTTTTGATTCTATCATAGCTAGCTAGCTGCTATACTCCCGTCATATCATATTATATTATGCCTCTTGCTGCACAAGGCTGGTACAGCTTTGAGGACACCTTACCTGAGTTTTTTACTTCCTAGCTCCTGACCTGATTTAGCATGGAGGGAATCTTATACTTGGTTTCTCAGGGACATCCTGCCAGAAATCTTGACATGTTGGCAGTTGAGACCAGGCAGCCCAGCAAGTGTGCTTTTTCCCCTCCGCTTCTGGCTTCTAGCTGTAATTGAAGTAACCACCTATTTCTGTGTTTTGTTTTTGGCTGCCAGCAAAGTACCAGCATTGGATATTAGTGTTTCTTTATAATTTTCATTCTTTTTCTAAAATTTAAAGTAAAAAACACATGCTGTGTTTTTTTGTTTTTGTTTTTTTGTTTTTTTGTTTTTTTTTTTTGCTTTTTAAGTTTCTTTCTTTCTTTCTTTCTTTCTTTCTTCCTTTCTTTCATGGGTGAGACTTATGCTGGTGAGGGGAAACACCCCAACAAGACCCTGACTTCTGATTGGCTTTTAACTAGTGTGTTAGGTAAAGCCACACTTCTTTCCCAAATATGGAAAAGTATTTATGGTAATTCAAAAGTAAACAGAAAGAAGCCTGTTTTTTGTTTTGTTTTATTTGTTTGTGTTTGTTTTACTATTTGGTTACCCTTAGCTTTGAAACTAGATGAGGGATCAGCAGATAGTATCATGGTTATATCGCTGGACTCCCAAGTGGTCAACTGTGGTTCAAATCCTGGACCCATTGGCTTAAACTCAAGCTGGGCACATGTGCATGTGTGCCCAAGATCCTGAGAAGAAATGGAAGAGGAGGGATTACAGCATGGCCATCCCCGACAAGAGGGTGATTTCTTGCTTTCTGTCTCTCAGGCGAGTGCATATGTTTTTATAGCAAAACTCTCTCTAAAATTAAAATTAAAAAAAATGGATGAATAATACACTGAGTCAGTTTTTAAATTCCAAAGAGGCAGTAAGATGGTTCATTTGCAGACCTGAGAGCTAACCTATGCTTTTATTTTAACAGCCCATATGCAGTAGCAGTGTTTGGCTCTAATTTTCCCACATTAAAATATAAATTCATGAGAAGACCTCACAAAGCTCATGGAAAATATATATTATGAAAAAAATGCATGGATTTCAAATTTGAACCAAAATAAAATCATACTGTAAAAACATTTTCTACAAACTTTTTGAAGTGCCTTTATATAGATAGGTAGATAGATACACACACACACACACACACACACACACACGTACATTATTATTCTGTTAAATAGCCTCTTCAGAAATAAGACCTATATGCCCTCAGGGCCTTTTGCTACTCTTAGGTTTATTTGCACCCTTTTGAGTTTTGTAGGAAAAAAATATACTGCTACTATATATTACATCAATATCATTATTAAAAGTAATATAATTTTTAGAACATTATTAAAAATAGATATTTTTAGGTTGATCACTCATTATTTAGATGCTTTTAATTTTGAAAGAAAATAACTACAGCCACGTGTTTATGGCATTGGTTAAAAAAAAACACATTTAGCCCAAAAAGTGACAGAGTTTAGTGTGCTGATACTGTTCTTACAAAATCTAGAAGCAGTATTTTATTCAGTCTATTTTGTCTCTGAATTTTACTGGCAACCCTATAGTTGCGTAGGAAAAATAATTTTCCACTTGTAGGTTATTCTCCAACCTGCCTCACAAAGATGCTACAACTCCATGGTTGGAAATATAGCTGGATTTTGGTCAGGCATTTGGGGGAGCCATGTGTGATATGTCTGAATGTAAGATAGAAAACTGTGGAGAGGGATCAGCAGTTGGTGTAATGGCTAGGTCGCTAGACTCCCACATAGTCGACCGTAGTTCGAGTCCCAGACCCGGTAGCTTAAAGTCACGCCGGGCGCGTGTGCGTGCATGCCCAAGATCCCAAGAGGAGAATGGAGGAGAAGGGATTGCAGCGTGGCCCTTCCCCCAGGGGGTGATTTCTTGCTTTCTATCTCTCTGTCTCTCTCTCTCTGTCTTTCTGGCGAGCACACTAGCCCTATAGCAAAAACCTCTCCAAAAAAAAAAGAAGAAAACTGTGGGAACCAGCAAATAGCATAATGGTTACGTCTCTGTACTTTTACATAGTCCACTACAGTTCAAGTCCCAGACCTGGCAACTTGAAATTCATTGCAGGGGCATGTGCGTGAGTGCCCAAGATCCTGAAAAGAGAATTGGAGGAGAAGTATTGTGATGTGGCCATCCCTCCCAGGGGGTGATTTCCCAGCAAGTGCACATGCCCTATAGCAAAAATTTATCAAAAAAAAAAAAAAAAAAAAGGAAAATGAAAAGAAAAATGTGAGCCTAGAAGTACGTAGCTTTTTAGTTGAGTAATCAGAAAGGATGATTTCAACTAATGAATCCATGTTAGCTTTGTTTTCTAGGAGATGCTTTAAAGGTCTTTTCTTGACCTTATATTTTCAACATTTTTATCAAGGACTTGGGTGGCTACCAAGTGCATAGATGTTGCAAACTTGGGAAAATAGCAAGTTTGGGTGTGTATAAATTTGACGACTGAATTTGAAAAGATGTTAATAGGTTACCATCAATAAAATTCAAGTTAGTATTCAAAACTATTATGTAGAAAGGAGGTCTTGCTTAACGTGCTTTTGTAGAAAAAGGTTTTAAAGATTTTAAATGACCACAAAAACTTCACCTAGAACTTGTCACATAAAAGATGTTCAGAGAATATTGGCTCTTTTTCACAGACCAATTTTGAGAGGAACACTAATTGTGATAAATGCTAAGAATCATGCTCATCTCTTCCTGTAACTTGTTGAATAATTGAAGCTGGGTATATCTTCTAAGTGATATTACATGTCTAGAGATCAATCACCATACTTATTTTAGAGTTAAAAAGTTTAATAAATAAAAGTTGCATAGTACTGAGTAATGCCTTAGATATATATCACACTTATGTGCTAAAGAATTAGAGTGGCATTATAATTGTTTGCTTTTGTTTAAAGTGAAAGTCAATCAAAAAAAGGTTGTATACCTGGGATGTGCCACTTGCTGTAAAGTAAAACTTAGTTTATTCTCTCCAGTTTAAATATATTTCATTGGGAAAGACAAACTTGTTATACAAAAAAACTTCAATTTTTGTTCCATTAGAACAGGTATCTCATGAACACTTGTCATCTGTGACATTCTCTGTCATACACATACTAATGCTGTGAACTAGATAGTTAACACATTTTACAGAGCAGAACACACTCAGACAAGTTCTGTAATTTGCCCGAGGCTATTAGTTAGTAAGTGGCAGTACTAAGGACTCTAATTCAAGGCTGTCATTAAAGCCTGTTATCCTAACTACTATTCTCTACTTGATGCTAGTCATTCTAAGTTAATTTTAGAATATCTTTGGACTTAAGGTTTCCATATCTTTAGACATGTTAAAATAATAATTATATAGCATTTTCACAATATTAATTTCCTTTGGCAATGTTATATAAACATTGTCATAAATTGGGAAATAAAAGATTGTCATACTGGGGCTGGCAGGTGGTGTGGTGGTTAAGGGGGCTGGATTCCCATATGGCCAACCATGGTTTGAGTCCCGGACCTGGTGGCTTGCTTTCTCACTTTTCATTTCTCTCTCTCTCTCTCCCCCCTCCCTCCAATCTGGTCAAATTAAAATGAAAATAAATAAAGTTAAATAAAATAATTCTTTTAAAAAAAAAAAAAAGATTGTCATGCTTTGGTCATAATTCTTTTTCCTAGGTCAATAACTATGATATCAGCAACGTGTCTCATAACTATGCCAGAGCTGTTCTTTCCCAGCCCTGCAACACACTGCATCTTACTGTGCTTCGAGAGAGACGGTTCGGCAACCGAGCATCCAGCCATTCTGATAGTACCTCTCCACGAGAAGAGATTTTCCATGTGGTTCTTAATAAACGGGACTCTGGGGAACAGCTTGGCATTAAATTAGTGCGAAGGACAGATGAGCCAGGCGTTTTTATTCTTGACCTCTTGGAAGGGGGACTAGCTGCCCAGGATGGCAGACTCAGTAGCAACGACCGAGTGCTGGCTATCAATGGACACGACTTGAAGCATGGAACCCCAGAACTTGCTGCCCAGATCATTCAGGTAAATCCCTCTTGGCCTTCTTTCCAGATGCTCAGTCTCAGTTACCGAATAGCAGTACAGTCATGCACTATGTGACGGCATTTCTGTCCATGCGGAACCACATGATCCTGGTCCCATAAGGAGCATGTAGACTTTGCCATATAACCAAGCTGTGTACGTCTGTCACATCTAGCTTTGTCCAAGTGCAGTCCATGATGTTCACCCAACAGAATCTCCAGACAATGCATTTCTCAGTCGTTAAGCACTACAAGACTGTTTTCATCAGCAAATAACATTAGAATTCAGGGACCAGATGATATTTCATTAAAAATCAATCATGGTTAGGGAACCAGCAGTTAGCGTAATGGCTATGTCGCTGGACTCCCACGTAGTCGACCGCGGTTCGTGTCCCGGACCCGGTGGCTTAAAACTCACGCCGGGTGCATGTGCGTGCGTGCCCAAGATCCCGAGAGGAGAATGGAGGAGAAGGGATTGCGGCGTGACCATCCCCCCTGGGGGGTGATGTCTCGCTTTCTGTCTCTATGTCTCTCTCTGTCTGTCTGGCGAGCGCACGCGCCCTACAGTGAAAAATCTCTCCAAAAAAAAAAAAAAATCAATCATGGTTAGAAAATCAGTCATGGCTACTTAAACTCTTCAAAGTCCCCACTAGTATAAACTTCATTATAGATAAAACTTTTCCCAAAAGCCATATCCTCATGAACTTTTGAGCTGGCTGTTTATAGATGATAGGCTCTAATGCTTCACATTCATTTCTCATTGGATTTCTAGGCTCTTACTCATCCTAGTAAGCCAAACATAGGATGGTCATGTCCACCTTTAACAACTGAGGAAAGCAAGGCTCAAAGAAGCTGTGATTATCAGGGTTGCAGCTTACCTGATCTCTCACTCTTTTTAAAGATCCATATAAGTACAGGAAAAACAATTGTTTCAAAAGAATAGCTCTTAAATCGTGTGTGTGTGTGTGTGTGTGTGTGTGTGTGTGTGAAGAATTCAGAGTGTTTTAAACACATCATAACAACTTGTCCTCACAGTATACCTCTGAAATAAGTAAAGGTAGTCATCATTCGAGAGAAACATCTTTTCATTAAGGGCATGAAGACAGATAAATTGGAAAGTCACCCAGAGAAGATCTTCAGGTTCTGCAGCATGTCATGGCATTTAATGATATGGGCATCTTCCTCAGAGATAAGGGTGTAACATCACGATGTTTTTCATAATGTAAGCACAACAATATACTGTAAAGGAAACCAAGTGTTAATGTAATTGAGCATCAGGAATTAGGTTGATAATCGCTGACAGATGTGTCTACAACAGTCAAGTAACGATCAAAATTGAAGACTGTAAGAAAAGCCAAGTCTCATCATCCTTTATTGTAGCTATTGGTCATAGGCTTGAAGTTTAAAGAAATCGGATGTCGTAACATTCTCTCAAATCAGAGATGGTATTAGGTTCTGTACGTGGTCTGTCAGCCACTGCACTGCTGAAACTAGTTCATCTGTAGGAATGCAGATTGGTAAGAGGGAGTGAAAGAAAAGAGGAGGAGGAAAAAGAAAGTATTTGTGTGAAGAAATAGAAGAACCAGGTGAACTCTGTGAAGTGAAAGATAAATCAATAAGACAGGCAGGAATAGATTTAAACACTTTAACTCCTAAGAAGATGGTCCTCAGTAAACTTCTAACTAAAATGTGGAACATACAGATGCACAGTAGAAAATATTTTTAAATTTTCCATAGTAATACTTTGTATTTGAACTTTTATAAATAGTTGCTTTATATTTAGAGCTATAATTTTTTTCCCCAAACAATGGAAAACTGAAGGTTGTTAATTTGTTTTTTTTTTAAAAAAAAAAAGAAATTACGGGAACCAGCAGTTAGCGTAATGGCTATGTCGCTGGACTCCCACGTAGTCGACCGCGGTTTGCGTACTGGACCCAGTGGCTTAAAACTCACATCGGGTGCGTGTGCGTGCGTGCTCAAGATCCCGAGAGGAGAATGGAGGGGAAGGGATTGTGGTGTGACCATCCCCCCTGGGGGGTGATTTCTCGCGTTTGTGGGAAAGCAGCGACTAAAAAAAAAAAAAAAAAAAAAAAAAAAAAAAAAAAAAACCCCTCTCTCAAAAAAAAAAAAAAAAAAGAAATTAGTTTTAGGGTCATTTAGAAAAATATACTCCATACTTAAAAAGGAGAATAATGAAGAAAACCTATGTAAGCTATAATAAAGGAAGTTAAAATCATCTTCAATCTAAGTACCTCAGGATATTAACATTAATAGTTTAATAATCATTATCCCAAAGATCCTTTGTATGAATCTTCACAGGTACGTAATTCCATGTTGACACAAATACTTACACATGCACTGATCTTATAAATGCTTTGTAGTGAAAATTATGGACATCTTACCATGAAAATAAGCATAGACTCACATCAGGAGTTTTTAATAGCTCTTTAGTGACCATGTACCATAAACTATTTATTTATTCCCCTACTGAGACTCTTATGTTTTGTTTTCAAGTTTAAGACATTTTGCTAAACTTCCCCCCAGAAAGATTATATGAGTTTATGCCCCTAGCAACGGGGATGCCACTCACTTACAAATATGGATATTGTCATTTGGGCATCCTGCATTTTTAAAATCTTCATTTTAACAACTCTTTCGCTATATTTAAAATGCTGAAGTGTTAAATGAACAGCCTGTCTAAAATTAGCCTAAACCCAAACGTTGGTCTATCATTTAAATTCTACATGCTCACTGCATCACAGTCACGGAATTTCGTCTTCCAGGCAATCTTGAAAGATCGAGGATTTGCTTCTATTAATAGGTTGGTATAAGCAGGAATATCCAGTAAGGTTAAAATACTGACTGTGGATTATTTGATGGCTATGAAGTGTTAAGCAGTAATGAAAATGATTCTGTATATTGAAATAAATCCATTTCATACAGTGCAGCCTAATATTTGAAGTATCTGAATTTTAAAAATCGCAATGCCAGATTTTCTACCTTTATGCAGCCACCCCTCACTTAATGACCTACTGGTCAAGACTATGCACTATTGCGACCAGTTCTCCAGTGCAAGAAGTCCCCGTTCTCAATCTTTGTCTTATTCCTGCAGTCAGTCAGTATGCATTACACGAGTATTTGCAATCATGCAAGACCACTTATTTCATTCTAAGTTTGTACTTTATTGTATACCCATAGTAGTGTTCAGAATAAATAATAACGATTACACCAGATTTATATTCTGTGTTGTGGTGTGTCTGGTTGTTTTCTGGTGTTTAGTGAAAGCTTTCTGTATGGGTAGAATTACATTATTCTAGAGTGGTGTCACTTGATATCTCTTGAAAAATACATACCCTTTGGCATCACGACACACCAGAAGACAGTTGCCTTTACATTCCTCACTTACTGACCCGTTCGCTTACTGACCTAGCAGCAGGAACAAAACTCATTAAACGAGGAGATGAGGGGTTCCTATATTTTCCTTTAGATGGGTTCCCCAAAATCTACTTCAGGAGTCCAGCTGGATAGTACATTGTTTCTTCAGTTATTTTAAAGAACTTGTCTGAAATTATTTGGTTTAATAAAAGACTTGAATGGCAAATGATTTTTGGCAGGGCATTAACATTGTTTATCACTTATTTCCATTTAAGATCTAAAAATTAAGTGATTTCTTAACATTATTTACAATCATGAGATAGGTCTCCAATTTCTACCACAATACCTTAAAACACAGTATCAGAGACCAGCAGTTAGCGTAATGGCTATGTCGCTCGCTGGACTGCCACGTAGTTGACCACGGTTCGAATCCCGGACCTGGAGGCTTAAAACACACCAGCTGTGTGTGCATGCCCAAGATCCCGAGAGGAGAATGGAGGAGAAGGGATTGCGGCGTGGCCATCCCCGGGGGGTGATTTCTCGCTTTCTGTCTCTATGTCTGTCTCTGTCTGGCGAGCGCATGTGCCCTATAGCAAAAACCTCTGCAAAAAAAAAAAAAGCAAAAACAAACACACACACCAAAAAAAAAACATGGTGTCATGTTTTCCTATAGGAATAATAGTAAAATTGGAAATTGTGTCATGACCAAGTGTTATGTGAAGTAAATCAGACCTGTGCTTTCTTTTTTTTAATAATTATTTTATTTAACTTTATTATTTATTCATTTGTTTATTTCAATTTGACCAGAGAGGGACAGAGTGAGAGAGAGAGAGGGAGAGAGAGTGAGAAAGCAAACCACCAGGTCCAGGACTTGAACCACAGTCGACCATGTGGGAATCCAGCGCCTTTAACCACCATGCTACCTGCCGGCCCCAGACCTGTGCTTTCAAAGCAATGACAGAAGAACCTTTAAAAATGTGGTAAGGTGACTATGTTTAAAATAAGATAAATAACAAGCCTCTAAATTTAAACTGGTAGTCATGAACATCTAAAATAATTTCATACTTAAACAAATGCATGTTTGCGTACACAGTACTGTACACATACATAAACAAACATGCTAACACTAATCTGTTTTTAAATTTTATTTTTGGTTTGCCATAGGGTGCATGCACTCACCAGGGAGGGAGACAGAGAAGAAAAAGAGAGAAATCACTTCCTAGAGGGAATAGCCATGCCACATTCCTTTCTCCATTCTCCTCTCAGAATTTGGGGCACACATGGACATGCACCCAGAATGTTTTTCTAGCTACCAGGTTCGGACTCAGACTATGCAGTCAGGCATGTGGGATCCAGCTGCCTTAACTACCATGCCATGAACTGGCCCCTGCTAATCTTATATAGAATTTTTATGGTCATTCTTTTCAGGAGTATTTAAGCTGATGTCCTATTTCCGACTCAGACCTCCCTCCGTCGCAAGCAGAAACAAAGCTGTGCAGAATTTCATTGATTGTTACTTCCAAAGTAACCACCACAGAATTTATTTCAGAATCACAATGGGCTTTTATCAAGTTTTAAAGAAGTTCTTCCTTTTATTTTCTTTCTTTCCCTTAATCCCTTTCAATACCAAGGCTAGCTTTGAAGGAGTAAAGAAGTTTACCCTTCTACTGGTTTGTCAGGCAAAAATGATGCACCGTTGCCTAGAAAAACATTGAAAAATATGTTCTGACTTTCCGGACAACCTGATAGAAATGATGAGGATGTGGAAAGCCCAGGCAGTAAGACTGCTTTGCCGGTATCATTTTGAAAGTGGGATTGCAGAGGGCACGCTCACGATGGTGTGTGTGTGATTTTAAAATATTAGCTAATGAAATGAAGTCCCTTCCTCCCCACCACCAGGTGCTTTGCAGTCACTGCTCAGCTGAGGCCCTGGTGTACTGCTGGAGAAGTGCAGCTGAAACTTACGCATCCTATAGTCTTTAAAATGACAGTCATGATTAACGACTCGTGGTAATGTGCGTCTGTCTTCTCCAGGCCAGTGGAGAGAGGGTGAACTTAACCATCACTAGACCAGGCAAACCCCAGCCTGGCAGCACTATCCGAGAAGCGGCAGCTCACAGCAGCAGCCAGCACCACGCACAGCCGACGTATTACATCAGACCAAGCTCACACAAGGTGAGGATTTGTTTGTTTAATCGAGGTGTCACCCTCCAAAGGATTGTTGTTCCAAGCTGGTAAGATCTAAACGAAAGCTTTGTGTAAGTCAGTCATACCTCAGTAAAGCAGTTTTTAGAAAAAGATTTAAGTGAAGGCTGCTTTTCTGTTGGAAAAGGCAAACGTGGGTGTTGGGACGTGAGAGTGACTGTGTCATCCCAGTTCTCTGCTACTAGAGAGAGTTTCTTGGCAGGGAAGGTTCCTCTCTCAGATGACTGGTGAGAAGGGTGCAGTCTTCCAGAAGATTCTTCTACTTGTTAAGTCCTATTTGAAAAATGGGGTTTATCTTAGGTTGCTCATTTAAATGTAAGAGTTGCTTCTGTGATGAAAAAAGCATAATAAAGACATGATTGACGACGGAACAATACTTTGCAAGTGGGCTCATTGACTATAGTAACAATTAAATCTATGAATATTAAACACATGAATTATAAAATGTTATGGATATATAGGTAGCATATTTCTGTTGAGGTTACAGCTTAGAGGAGTATTACCCTAAATCATTTAAAATTTCCGTATGTTGAGCTTCATCACTGCTTCTCCAGAATCCGTATTTTACTAGTTTTATAATATATTCCAAGGTGCTGAGGATGTTGATACTATCTCACTTTCATCCCCCAAATCGAAGAAAGATAGAATTTTAGCATTCTTAATGCAATTTATTTTATTTGGTTAATTTGAATTCAACTTCAAGTAGGTCAAGAATTTTTAAATGGGGATGTGATGTTACCCAATTATGAGGAAATGTAAGTTATATATGAGTTTCCAAAGTCCTTCTCTTTAGGTAAGATTAACTGGCTTTACTAAACAACTCAGTTACTGGTCTGCTTATTGATTTCCTATGTGCTCAAATGGCGCCTGTGTGTGTGTGTGTGTGTGTGTGTGTGTGTGTGTACACACGTGCGCATGCATGTGTGGTTTCTGGCTTACATATAATTGTATATCTTTGTGGGGTACAGTATGGTTTTTCACAGTGTGCATGCCGCCGTGGCTTTTTGATGTACAGATGGTGAGAGTAAGTACCGTGGACTCTGGCTGGTTCCCTGAGAGAACAGAGCTTATTTAGCCCATCAGGTTTACGTGGCTTTCTCCGCTTAAGTACAGTCTTGTCATTGTCCTTCGGTTTAGTTAATATGGAAAGAAATTATAACCACAGACTTTGTTCTCCTTCTTGAACAAAAACTGAAATGTATACAGAAAACCTATAATTTTGCCTTTATACTGACATCTATGAAAAGGAGCTATTATTTTGAACAAGAATTTTGAATAGTTGTTTCACATCGCCAGTCCTTGCTTTACAAGTTATTTATATATATGGCAAATGTTGGTAATCAAAAAAAATTTTTTTTAAGTTTTTGCTGTAAGGCACGTATGCTCATTATGGAGAGTCAGAAAGGGAGAAAGGGAGAGGGAAAGTAAGAAATCACCCCCTAAAGGGAATGGCCACACTGCATCCACTCTCTATTCTTCTCACAGGAGTTCTGAGCACACAGGCACACACATCCAGTGTGTTTTTCAAGCCCTTGGGTTCAAGGTGCAAACCAAAGTTGGTCACGTGGGAATGTGGGATCAAGCACCTTAACCTCCGTGCCATCTGCTAGCCCAAATAATTGAACTTTTTATGTTACTGAATTTTACAAAAATTCAAGATATGGGTGTCTATGACAACATGATAATGTTAAGGCAGTTTTTGTTTTGTTTGTTTTTAGAGAGAGATTTTTTGCCATAGGATGTGTGCACTCACAGGAGAGACAGAGAGATGGAAATTGAGAAATCACCCCCACCCTAGGGGAGATAGCCATGCCACAATCCCTTCTCCATTTTCCTCTTGGGATCTTGGGCACACAAGCATACATGCCCTGTGTGAGTTTTAAGCCTCCAGATCCAAGACTTGAACCACAGTCAACAACATGGGAATTCACTGACATAACTATTATGCCAGCTGCTGGTCCCAAGACAGGTTTAAAAACTACTTAATCATTCTAATATTCATATAGAGAATCTTGCTTACTTCATTAAATTTGTTTGGGGCACATGAATTTTTCTGTCATAACCCTGCTAATTCTTATTCTTTGTAATTTTATGTCACTGTACTTTAAATAGAAATGTGAAAGAAAACAATCACCTTTAATTGATTAAATAACTAAGAGCCAAGACTGCTTTTAAATATACTCAAGGCTGTTTACCTTACCCAGGGACCTTCCAGTGTGGGTCCAGTTGTGTTACCACTGTGCCGCCATCTGGGGATATTGTTCACTTTTTCAACAATTTGGTTATTTGGTGTCCTTTTAGCTTCTCATGAAGGTTTTGAAGGTAGACTTGAATCTGTCCATGACTGGGCACTCCTAAAACTAGTCCATAAGAATCCAAAGATCGATCTATAGCTTTTCTCTGGCAGTCCCCAGAATCCACACTCTAGTTTTGTGCTACTCTGTATACTATTTTTTTCTTCGAAAGAATTAGAGAGAAAGATGGAAATAAAATTAATTGTCTTCAGAATCTTAAAACTCAAAAGCATTACTTTTATAGAATTGATCTATCTTAGAACTCAAGACAGTTATAATGATACACTTATTTTACTTTGACTTCTCCATGTTGAGAGTCTGGAGGTTTTTCGTTCATGAATACTCACATGAAAATATCAGCCATCTAAAATTTGACCTTGATCCACACTGTACCTATTAAGAATTGTGTATTACCTTCAGTTGTAAGTAAGGATACTGAAAAAGTAAAAAGGTCACTTTATGAATGTCATTGAAGTTACATCCTTAGCTTAAGCAGTCTGCTTCAACTATATATTATTCATTGCCCAATGGTGTTTTTCTTTTTGTGTTTTAGGATCTTACTCAGTGTGTCGCATGCCAAGAAAAACACATTACCGTAAAGAAGGAACCACATGAATCCCTTGGAATGACAGTCGCTGGGGGCAGAGGCAGTAAGAGTGGCGAACTGCCCATCTTTGTGACCAGCGTGCCACCTCATGGCTGCCTTGCACGAGATGGCAGAATCAAGAGAGGTGAGATAGGATCTGAACCGGTTTCACCAAATATTCTCCCTGAATTTAATTCATATATTTAAAAATAGAGTATTGCAAAGTTTCTATTCAACATGACTTTAAAACAATTGATGAGCAAGAGAGAGAGGCAGGGTGGCAGGGGCACCCAGCAGGGGCTTCACACTGTGATCCTGCTCCTGGCTCAGGCAGCCAGGATCATAAACTTGCGCACATGCCCAGTGTGTACAGGGAGCCCTCGGATGTGAACTTGGGACCTTCCTTTTTGGCCTCAGCATCACAGAACTATGGTGTTACTCTGCGGTGCGACTGTGGCCAACCTAAACGTGATTTTTTAATCTTTTAAAATGTTCCTTACATATGAAAGCCCAAGGTCTTTCTGTGAGGTTAGGAGAACGCCCAGAGTAAAGGAAAATTGCAGAACTTTGACAGTGATTTCAGAATTTCAGCAGTTACTTGGACTGTTAGATTATTTTACTTGGAAAACATCCTGAGACTTGTGCTTCCAATATTATGGCAGACCTAGTTATTCTGAAGAGCCGTCTCACCAAAATGCAATTGTTGGTTACAGTAAAGTGTCTGTGTAAAATGAGGCTCAGAGAGGAGGTGAGGCATAAGACAGACTTAAATTTCATAGTAAACTCATTCACTATTTCACATTCTCTTTCAGAGCTATATGATTTGCATAGCAATTGGCCATTACTGGAGGGGTGGGTCTTCAAAAGCTTATGGAGAAAATGGATATTATGAAATATCCATGTATTTTTTAAAAAAATTTACAGCAAAATAAACTTGTATTTAAAAGAAATTATTTAACTAACATTATTTATTTATTTATTTTAATTTGATCAGAGAAGGACAGAGTGGGAGAAAGAAAAAGCAAGAAAGCAAGCTGCCAGATTCAGGACTCAAACCGCTGTCGGCCATGTAGAGTCCAGTGCCCTTAACCACCATGTCACCTGCTAGCCCCTAAACTTGTATTTTAATTCCATTTCCCACAAACTTTTTGAAGTACCCTTTTATACTCTGTAAAAATAGCAAGTTTTTATTGACTTAGTTTATTGGTTGGAAAGAAAAATGTGTCTTAAAAGTTATTTTTCCAAGAATGAAATTAGGGAACCGGGGGGGGAGTTCATATGTTATCCTTCCACACCCAACCCCAGCACACATGCCCTACGGCAAACCATGACTTAATCTGACTATGGTGTTGAAAGGTGAGGGCGGGGACCCAGCAGTTAGCGTAATGGCTATGTCGCTGGCCTCCCACGTAGTTGACCGCGGTTTGCATCCCAGACCCGGTGGCTTAAAACCCACGCCGGGCGCGTATGCGTGCGTGCTCAAGATCCCGAGAGGAGAATGGAGGGGAAGGGATTGTGGTGTGACCATTCCCCCTGGGGGGGTGATTTCTTGCTTTCTATCTCAATGTCTCTCTCTGTCTGGCTAGCACACACGCCCTATAGCAAAAACCTCTCAAAAAAAAAAAAAAAAAAAAACAAGTTTAAAATGGGACCACCAGGTGACGTGGTGGTTTAGGTGCTGGACTCTTACATGGCTGACGTGTAGTTTGAGTACCAGACCCAGTGACTTCAAAATCATACTGGGGATGTGTGCATGTGTGTTTGTTTGTTTTTAGAGAGAGATTTTTTGCCATAGGATGTGTGCACTCACAGGAGAGACAGAGAGATGGAAATTGAGAAATCACCCCCACCCTAGGGGAGATAGCCATGCCACAATCCCTTCTCCATTTTCCTCTTGGGATCTTGGGCACACAAGCATACATGCCCTGTGTGAGTTTTAAGCCTCCAGATCCAAGACTTGAACCACAGTCAACAACATGGGAATTCACTGACATAACTATTATGCCAGCTGCTGGTCCCAAGACAGGTTTAAAAACTACTTAATCATTCTAATATTCATATAGAGAATCTTGCTTACTTCATTAAATTTGTTTGGGGCACATGAATTTTTCTGTCATAACCCTGCTAATTCTTATTCTTTGTAATTTTATGTCACTGTACTTTAAATAGAAATGTGAAAGAAAACAATCACCTTTAATTGATTAAATAACTAAGAGCCAAGACTGCTTTTAAATATACTCAAGGCTGTTTACCTTACCCAGGGACCTTCCAGTGTGGGTCCAGTTGTGTTACCACTGTGCCGCCATCTGGGGATATTGTTCACTTTTTCAACAATTTGGTTATTTGGTGTCCTTTTAGCTTCTCATGAAGGTTTTGAAGGTAGACTTGAATCTGTCCATGACTGGGCACTCCTAAAACTAGTCCATAAGAATCCAAAGATCGATCTATAGCTTTTCTCTGGCAGTCCCCAGAATCCACACTCTAGTTTTGTGCTACTCTGTATACTATTTTTTTCTTCGAAAGAATTAGAGAGAAAGATGGAAATAAAATTAATTGTCTTCAGAATCTTAAAACTCAAAAGCATTACTTTTATAGAATTGATCTATCTTAGAACTCAAGACAGTTATAATGATACACTTATTTTACTTTGACTTCTCCATGTTGAGAGTCTGGAGGTTTTTCGTTCATGAATACTCACATGAAAATATCAGCCATCTAAAATTTGACCTTGATCCACACTGTACCTATTAAGAATTGTGTATTACCTTCAGTTGTAAGTAAGGATACTGAAAAAGTAAAAAGGTCACTTTATGAATGTCATTGAAGTTACATCCTTAGCTTAAGCAGTCTGCTTCAACTATATATTATTCATTGCCCAATGGTGTTTTTCTTTTTGTGTTTTAGGATCTTACTCAGTGTGTCGCATGCCAAGAAAAACACATTACCGTAAAGAAGGAACCACATGAATCCCTTGGAATGACAGTCGCTGGGGGCAGAGGCAGTAAGAGTGGCGAACTGCCCATCTTTGTGACCAGCGTGCCACCTCATGGCTGCCTTGCACGAGATGGCAGAATCAAGAGAGGTGAGATAGGATCTGAACCGGTTTCACCAAATATTCTCCCTGAATTTAATTCATATATTTAAAAATAGAGTATTGCAAAGTTTCTATTCAACATGACTTTAAAACAATTGATGAGCAAGAGAGAGAGGCAGGGTGACAGGCACACCCAGCAGGGGCTTCACACTGTGATCCTGCTCCTGGCTCAGGCAGCCAGGATCATAAACTTGCGCACATGCCCAGTGTGTACAGGGAGCCCTCGGATGTGAACTTGGGACCTTCCTTTTTGGCCTCAGCATCACAGAACTATGGTGTTACTCTGCGGTGCGACTGTGGCCAACCTAAACGTGATTTTTTAATCTTTTAAAATGTTCCTTACATATGAAAGCCCAAGGTCTTTCTGTGAGGTTAGGAGAACGCCCAGAGTAAAGGAAAATTGCAGAACTTTGACAGTGATTTCAGAATTTCAGCAGTTACTTGGACTGTTAGATTATTTTACTTGGAAAACATCCTGAGACTTGTGCTTCCAATATTATGGCAGACCTAGTTATTCTGAAGAGCCGTCTCACCAAAATGCAATTGTTGGTTACAGTAAAGTGTCTGTGTAAAATGAGGCTCAGAGAGGAGGTGAGGCATAAGACAGACTTAAATTTCATAGTAAACTCATTCACTATTTCACATTCTCTTTCAGAGCTATATGATTTGCATAGCAATTGGCCATTACTGGAGGGGTGGGTCTTCAAAAGCTTATGGAGAAAATGGATATTATGAAATATCCATGTATTTTTTAAAAAAATTTACAGCAAAATAAACTTGTATTTAAAAGAAATTATTTAACTAACATTATTTATTTATTTATTTTAATTTGATCAGAGAAGGACAGAGTGGGAGAAAGAAAAAGCAAGAAAGCAAGCTGCCAGATTCAGGACTCAAACCGCTGTCGGCCATGTAGAGTCCAGTGCCCTTAACCACCATGTCACCTGCTAGCCCCTAAACTTGTATTTTAATTCCATTTCCCACAAACTTTTTGAAGTACCCTTTTATACTCTGTAAAAATAGCAAGTTTTTATTGACTTAGTTTATTGGTTGGAAAGAAAAATGTGTCTTAAAAGTTATTTTTCCAAGAATGAAATTAGGGAACCAGCAGTTAGTGTAATGGCTATGTCGCTGGCCTCCCACGTAGTTGACCGCGGTTTGCATCCCAGACCCGGTGGCTTAAAACCCACGCCGGGCGCGTATGCGTGCGTGCTCAAGATCCCGAGAGGAGAATGGAGGGGAAGGGATTGTGGTGTGACCATTCCCCCTGGGGGGGTGATTTCTTGCTTTCTATCTCAATGTCTCTCTCTGTCTGGCTAGCACACACGCCCTATAGCAAAAACCTCTCAAAAAAAAAAAAAAAAAACTGCTGTAGTGATGATTGCACAGCTCTGAATATATTATACTAGAAAGCATAAAATCATACTTTAAATTGTATTATCGCAGTAAATCTGTATTTGAAAAAGAAGCTAATTATCCGGTTGTAGAATTTGGGGTAGTTTTATTTTCTTGCTGTTATTATGTCTTCCCAATTTTCTACAATGAGAACATTTTGCCTTTTTAAAAAATTATTTCTTTATTTAATTTTATTTATTGTTATTATTTATAATTTGCGATAGGGCATGTGTGCTTACCAGAGAGAGACAAGAGAGAGAAAAAGTGAGAAAGGCAGCATCCAGGTCCAAGACTTAAACTTTCGTGGTCAGCCATGTTGGGAGTCCAGCACCTCAACTACCACTCTACCTGCTGATTCCCCATTTAGCCTTTTAATAATCTGAGAAATTGGTGATAAATTGAGAAAGGGGAATTTTCTATAGACTTCATAGCAAAAATGTCTGCTTCCTACAAAACTAATCCTTTCCTTTCAACCTTTCACATAATCCTCATTGCCCTTTGTTATTATAGTACTTGGCAGGGCAAATCTTTTTCCATCCTCAAGTAAGGGAAGGTGTTCAAATCACAATTGGATTTTGTTGTGGGCCCAAGAATCTCTCTCTCTGAAAGATTATTCTGACATGTTTGCCCTGAGTGAACTATGCAGGGCTGTGTTTATAAATTCTATAAATATAAAATAGAACGTATGAAAAATTCATTTATTAGCACAGAGGATCAAGTAATTTTTGAATTAGAATGGTAGAAATCTCAGAAGCTCAAAGAAGAGCAGTGAACATGCACAGGGCCTTCCCAAGCTAAACTTGGCCTCACAGTTTGGATTCCAGTCACATCCAGGTGCTCTAAGCCATACCATTTCCTGTGTAGTAATATTATTATTCTGTTTTGAAATTGTTTTGGCATGTTTTGCATGAAACAAATTTTTCCCCAGTATTTTAAAAAATTACAAAGAGGTAGAAAGTATTCGTTCACCTTATCTGAGGAGTAAGAGCTGACCCTTGTTGGTTAGCTTACAAACAACAGCGCTCTTGAGAAAATAACTGCTTTATTGACCAGCTCCTTTTTCTTATTTTTCTTTTGAACAGGTGACGTGCTGCTGAATATCAATGGCATTGATCTGACCAATTTAAGTCACAGTGAGGCTGTGGCGATGCTGAAAGCCAGTGCTGCTTCCTCAGCTGTTGCCCTTAAAGCTCTTGAGGTTCAGATTGTTGAGGAGGCCACACAGACCACGGAAGAGCAGCCGAGTACTTTCAGCGAAAACGAGTATGATGCCAGCTGGTCCCCATCGTGGATCATGTGGCTTGGGCTTCCAAGGTATTGATAACTTTTTGTTGTTTTATATATAGACTAATCATGACTATGTTTATCAGTGTGTAACACAGTAAATTTACCCATTGGGGGAAAACAAGACTTTCATTAAATAAAAGTAGCAACATTTAATTATATTACAAAGAAAATATTTTTTCTTTGACTATTACTTAAAAAGGTAGATTTAATAGCAGGAACTAAGTTGAAAAGATGTATATCTAGTTATAAAAACAAAGAAAGTAATTCTGTTCATTTCTCCTAAGTTTTTTTTTTTTTTTTTTTGGAAAAGTTTTTGCTACAGGGCGCATGCACTCGCCAGAAAAAAAAACACAGAGAAACAGAAAGCGAGAAATCACCCCCCAGCGGGGAGGGCCTTGCTGCCATCCATTCTCCTCTTGGGATCTTGGGCACGCATGCACATGCGCCCGGTGTGATTTTAAGCCACCGGATCCAGAACTCAAACCATAGTCGACTACATGGGAGTCCAGTGACATAGCCATTATACCAACTGCTGGCCCCTCTCCTAAGGATCTTAAGTGGGCTAACTATGAGCCTGGATGTACCAGTCTCCCGTTGTCATTTACCAATATTCGTTCTGATATATGCTTAAACTTCACATGCATTTTTCACCATTGAAACCAAGCCAGTGCTTGGGGCCTTGTCCTGTCCCAAAAGCTTTCTAAAAGCTTTCTTTTTTACTCATCCCAAAAAAGAGTTTAAAGCCCAGTTTTTGTTGGACACTAGGGTCTTTAAGCCAAAACACTGGTGGTGTTCAAGAGTAGCTGCTCCACCTTTGTAGGGAGTGAGTCACTTGTCACTGACTGTGACCAGGCAGGAGAGTCTTTGGTTGCTTAGTGTTGAGTCATGGAAAGCTGGTGGAACCTCCCGGGACATCACAGGGTATATACCTTTATCAATGGTGACATTGTTGTTATTGGTGTTGAGACAGGGAGAATTATTATTTGTTTCCAAGTCAGTTTAGATTCTTACTGAATATAAGAATCCTAAAACTGGGAACAAGCAGATGGTGTAACGGTTACGGCACTGGACTCCTACATCATCAGCTGCAGTTCGAGTCCCAGACCCAGCAACTCAAAACTGACTCGGGGTACATGTGTGTGCGTGCCCAAGATCCCAAGAAGAGAATGGAGGAGAAGAGACTGTGGTGTGGCCATCCCTCCTGAGGGGTGATTTCTTACTTTCTGTCTCTGTCTCTCCAGTGAGCACATGCACCCTATAGCAAAAATCTCTCTCTAAAACAGAAAATCCTAAAACTGAACTGTGAGGAGATATTTTGACTCTTAACTAAGTATGAAAAGTACTAACTCCTTAAAATAAAAATAAACAATAAGAGTTTGCCAGTTTCTGAGCATCTGACTCATGGGGACTAGATTTGTAATAATTACTAACATTCGTATAGAGCTTTATGAATTATAAAGCACTTTCTTGTGAAGAATAACCAAAAAAGGGCAAGAATATTGATGGATTTCATTTGTTGATAAACCTTAACTTCCTTACTTGTTCTCTTGGTTAAAAAAATAATAAAAGACCTAAAACTGCAGCATAATTTATGTCTCACACCTGTAGGGACCTCGCAGACAGGCAGATTTTTTAATAACAAAAAGTATTTAAGTACTTATTCGATACACCAGCACTAATTATTTTCCCATTGAAAAGAAACATAGATTTATACACCAAATCGTGGTCTCAGCCATCAGCGGTTGCCTCGTTTATCTCATATAATACTTAGCCTCGTACTTGGCCTGTTGTGTAAGCCTGGGGTGGTAGAAGGGCTCTGGGCACACTCGTGAGTGGTCTGCCTGGTCGCCAGGGCCCTGGGCATGCCTGTGGGTAATCTGCCCAGGCGCACAGTGTGTTGAAAAATTTCCTGGCGGAGCCAGCAAAGAGTGGGAAGGGCCTGGCGGAACACTGGCCTAAATGCTGCTTTTAATTTCCCGTTAGGCCAGTCTAGTGTTGGGGTCGGTACTTTGTCCTCTACGTGCAGGGCATTTTCCGGCGTGCCAGACAGGATAACAAAGATTTTAAATGAGAAATACACAGTCTAATAAAATCTGTGTTTAGCCAGCCGTTGGTGTAATGGCTATGTTGCTGGACCTCCATGTAGCTAACTGTGGTTCAAGTCCCGGAACCGGTGGCTTAAACTAATGCCAGGTGCGTGTGCATGCGTGCCCAAGATCCCAAGAGGAGAATGGAGGAGAAGGGATTGCTGTGTGGTGTGGCCATCTCCCCTGCGGGGGGCGGGGGGGTGACTTCTCGCTTTCTGTCTCTCTGTCTCACTGTCTTTCTGGCAAGCACACGTGCCCTATAGCAAAAAAAAAAAAATCTCTCAAAAAAAAAAAAAAAATCTATGTTTGAGCCCACCTGTATTATAAGACTACCTGTCAATGAAAGCCTTCCTCTGTGGATTTACAGCAGTCTGTGTTGGATGCGAACCCTATTCCACCACCATGTGTCCCCCTTTGTGAGTATTGGTAGTTCCTCTAAGCCGGGTTCATGCCGTTACTGGGCAGCAGCTCTGCTTTTGATGAAAAGAGAGGTTCTTCCACTATGCTTTGTTGGGAGGTATACCATAAAACCAGTTATTGCTCACCAAAGGAGATTCAGAAGAATGAAAATAACCTA